GCCGCCCCATCCGCCGTGATGGGCCGTTACCACCCTCTAAAGGAGCCCGGGAAGAAGGGATGCGGCCCCAGCGGGGACTGCACAGAACTGAGCGCACAGCCGTCGTCTAGACCAGCGTAACTGTCCGGAGCTCTGCAGAGGGGTACCGAAATGTGGGAAGAGTGACTACACTTTCCCAAGCCGTGGTTTAGAATGTCTGGGGGATTGTGAAATCGGCTTGGTGGATGGAGTCCCCGACTTTTTTTTTTTTAATGAAAGGGAAGAATAGAACACAGTAGAGAAATCTGAGTGCATCTCGTGTGACGGAGTTGTTCCGATAAATTTTTACTCCAGGCTTGAATCTGTCTGCCCCGGGGAGTGATGCAAAATGTATTTCTTAATATAAATCTTACCAAACGAAAAGCTTGAGAAACACTGTTCTTTGCAAAGAAACATTTAAACACAACAGGCGTGCATTGTATTAGTGCTGGCCTTACTCCCGGAATTAGAAGGGCGTTACAGATTACAGCATTCTTCTGTCGGGCCCTGGAATACAGAAATCCTTATCCTTAGCATTTAGACTAGCATGTGTACAGTGCCTAGCGAGTCCCTGTCCTCAGCTGAGGAAACCAGAGAAAAGCAAGTGTGTCAGAAAGTAAGAACATAAACCTCGCATAATACACACACATTAAGTAGCCCACATTAACGTAACCCACAAAACAATTTACTCAGTGTCTTCTCTAAAAATAGGTAGTTGCCTAACACAGATTACAAAAATCACAAGGACCCCAGATATAGTAGTATATGGGTGTGTGTGCGTGTAGCTGTGTTCAACTGTCTAAATTTTGCTAAAGTAAAACTTACAAATTCGTCATTTGCTATGTTGATACTTTCATTATCTCTTTAACAGGTAATTAGGTCTATTGGGCACCGAGAATACGATGATGAACAAATCACAGTCTCTATTCTACAGAGGCTGGTAGAGAAGAAAAAACATGAAAAAAGAATTATAAATGTGGAAAGTACCACAATAGGGGTATGCACAAGGCACTGGGACAGCACAAAAGAAAAAGGTGCTTCATTTTGAAATTTTCAGTTAAGGTTTGATACAGAAGGTGATTTTGTAGCTGAGTCGGAAAGGACCAAGGGAGTCACTTGGGAAGACAAGAGAGGAAGTGGGGAAATTACTAACTTCACTAATAAATTGCACAGTACTATGAAAGTGTTAGGAACCTTGGGATAAAATGACTGTATCATCTTGGAGTTTGTAGCAGTAAAGGAAATGCAGCATGCAAGATTAGTGCAAAATATATCTATTTAGTAAATTGATTATATTTCAAAGGAAAGATATTTAGGAAGTAGACTATAGGTGAAAGATAAGAATGACTCACTGGACAAGATATTCCAAAAGGTACCCTTGTTCAAGAAGCATGAGTGATTCTTAAAAAATGAAATTAGGTAATATGAGCTCAAATAATTTTGCTGCTCATAAAGCCCATTAGATAAAGACCATCAGGAGCAAACCTGTAACCCAGCAAGGTTAGGTTTATTGCCACAGCAAACACCACCACACAGCAGAGGAACCGTGCGCATGTCTCCAAAAAACAGAAGAAATGGGGATCATTATAGTGTTGGGGGAAGGGAAGAGTTTAGGTAGATTCTAAATGAAATAGTGCTTAACAGACTCAGAGCAAATCAGATCTGTGTGCAAAGGGATTAATATCAAAGCTGGGTGAGAATCAGACTAAAGACTCTATTTCCTTGAAAGATAAATTTAAGATTAATGTAGAATATTGTGTCTCCAGGCGCCTTATCTGAACCTCTGCACTGAAAATTGAGGCTGCTTCTCTAAGTTAAAGTGGCTTGGGTGGTTTACATCCTCCAGGCAAGAAAGGAATGTTCTGTTCCTACTAATATGAGTTCCAGACAATGAAGTTTCCATCAACCTAGGATTTTAGAAAGTTCCTTAGCACTGTGTCCTTTGATGACTACCCAAAGCAATTTTTCAGATTCACACTTTACAATACTAAATAATTAAGAAAAAATGTGATTTTTATTGGGAGATCTCAAGGAGCTTTAATTTTTAAAGAATCTGAACTGCTAACAAGGGAGAGGAGACCGGTATATGGAGTTAGGGAATGTAGGAAGCCTCTTGAAGAGATGTTGTGTCAGCCAGCCTCCAACACTGTCCCTAATAATCCTTGCTTCCTGGTGTTCATGCCTTTGTGTAATCTCCCTCATGTGAGGGCTGATCTGTGTGCACAAGGGAGTACAGCAGAGGTGACGGTATGTGACCCCTGAGACCCTTGAGCACTGTGGCTCCCGCCTTGGTCTCCTGAATTGCTTGCTCTCAGGGAAGCCAGCTGCCACACAGAACAGTCAGACAGCCCTGGGGAAGACTCGAGGACACCCACCAGGAGCCAGCTCCGCGTTGCTAGCCTTGGGAGCAGGTCTTGCGTCCCCAGTCAAGCCTTAGGTGCCTGCAGCCTCATAAACAACCCCGAGCCCAAACACTCGCCGCAGGTGTTGCACTCCTGACTCACACCCACTGTGGGAGATAATAAGTGCTGATCATTGTTCTCAGCTATGAAATTTTGGGGTCATTTGTTCTACAACTGATGTGACTTGATCCAAGCCTTAAAAAACAGGTAGACAAAAGGGGCTTTAGGAGAAGATGTAATAGGGACAAAGCTATTGAGACAAGAAGGTACAAAGCAGATTCTGGAAGACGATCAAGTCTGGTGTGGATGGAGGTTCGAGAAGAGGTGTGAGATGGAGAAAAGGATGAAATGTTTCATGGAAGTCAACTTGTGGAAGATCTGAAACACCAAGTTAACCAGGTGGGATTTCATTCTGCATGTAAAGAGGGAGTATTGCAGGTTTGGGGGAAGGGCAGTGACCTCAGCTATCACTTAAGGAAAACCATGCTAGTGGCAGTGAGTAGGCTGGATTGAAGGAGGAAGCATCAAGTAGAGAGACCAGTTTGAACACTCTTGAAATAATCTGGGTAAAAGGGTGTGAGCATCTGAGTCAGAGCAGCGCAGAGTAAAGAGGAAGGAAAGGACTTTGTGGGTTCAAATTGGATGGGAATGGATGAGATTGTTATTTAGTAGGAAGAAAACAAAAGATTTAATTAACTCCGAGATTTCCTGGTTGAGTGCCTGAGAGGAGGATGATATTTACCAGAGGGCAGGGGCACATAAATGGCACATACCGTCAGGAAAGGTAACGAGATGCAGATGAATTAATGCCTCATGAGTTCCTCATAACTAAGATAAAACCCAAGATCCTTAACATCTCACACAAAGGCAGTAGTGATGTAAGCTCTGAATTCTATTCCTTCGACCTGAAATGCCAATCCCTTCCTGCCCTAACATCCTTTAAAACAAAGCTTTAATGGTCTCCTACCCCAAACTGTCTTTTCTGGCCACTTCCCCCCACCCACTTCCCTCTTTTGTACTACTTCTGTTTCAGGTGCAAGTCTATTAATGTATAGTAGGTATCTGGAGAGGCAGATCTTAAAACTTTTTAAAAGAGAAACTGACAATCGTTTATTTGAAAAGGTAAACAAAGAACAGTTCATCTTTGCTTAGAAAAGAGTCACTTGAAAAACCCGTGTTACTGATACAAATAGAAGGAGAGTTAGGTGCACATTGCTCTGGGCAAAGTACGTAAAAGGACATCGCGACAAGACCATTCCTCCAGAGAGCCCTCATTAGCCCAAATCAGCAATGGCAACGTTTACCTAGGAGAGCCTCCTGGGAAGAAAGGCTGGGGTCTCAACCTCTTTCCTTTTGAAGTTCAACATTATTAGAACCTTCCGATGGACTGAGGTACTCCCGTCTCCCAGGTCTAGGCTCCTCAGGAGAAACTCTCAGAGGAAACAAGAAGTCTGGGCTGGTGAGCTAGTTCATCAGCAGAGCCTTGTGGCCACAAGGAGACCTGGTTCCAACTGAGTATTTGACTAAGCCACGAAGGCCTCCCAATTCAGGCATCTCGGACTATCCTTGTTCTTTGGGAACAACATACAAGCACAGAGGAATCTTGAGAGCCCACGCTTCGACCGCTCTACAACTTGTGCATCTGGGACATCCTGGCAGGAGAGCAAGGATACTCAGAACTGAGGAGAGCCAGCTGGAAATGGCAACACCTGTTGGCAGCCAGAGGCCTTCGGCGGCTGAAACTCCAGTCAACGATTACTTGGAAGCTTTAGTTCCCACTCTCACCTAGAGAGAAGTCTAACTGCTCTGGGCTGAACTGACACCTGTGGCTTTTGGTGAATTAGATGAGAAAGCCTCAAGAGTAAGATACTGGATTTCCTTGTCAGGGCCTAAATCAGGCAATTAATTGGAAAAATAAACGACATAAAGTGATACGTGACTTTGACCGCAAACTAATGAAGCAGGTCATGTTGATTAAAAACATACTCTCATGCAATTATGCTTTTTGTTTCTTTAGAGTTGGTGTATCCTCAGACCCTGCAGAGTGTTGGCACAGAGCAGACACTAGTAAGTGCTTGTTAAACTGAACAATATTTTGGGATGTTGAGGAATGCTCAGTGGAAATGTCCAGTAGGTAATCAGAAAATTAAGACCTAGTCCTTAGGGAAAAAGATCAGTACTAAACATTCACATGAAAATATTTGGTAGTGACTTACTATGTGCCAGGAACTGGAGTATTGGTGAGAAAAACAGAATAGTTGTCACCCAGAACAGTCTAGGAGAGGAACAGATATCAAGCAAATAAATAAATAAAAAGTCCCAAATATAATAAGAGTTTCAAATATACATTTAGAAAAAATATGTATGGATTTTGAGGTCTTCCGTACACAAATCAGGGGAAGGCTTGAAACTGAATAAGAATGAGAAGAATAGGCAATTGAGAAGTGGGACATAATCCTATGAAGCAGCTGCATTTTAGGGCTGGAGGAAGGAAGAGGAGCCAGGATAGTGAGATAATTTAAAAGGTAGTATGGGAACCCAGAGGCATGAAGATCACAGAAGTCAAAATAGAAGAGAGTTTCCAGAAGGATATAGGAGTGTTAATTCAGATTATCAGTAAGTATTGGAGATACAGTCCTTCATGAAGCCTTTTCTGGACTCTCTTTTCCTCTCTTTGGTGTCCCCAGTCTACAGATTCAATGCCAGCCTTATCAAATTACCAATGGCATTTTTCACAAAAATAGGACAAAAAGTTAAGTTTTATATGGAAACACAAAAGACCTCGAATGGCCAAAACAGTCTGAAGAAAGTAGAACAGAGCTGGAGGAGTCACACTCCCTGTCTTCAGACTTCATTACAATGCTACAGTCATCAAAAGAGTGTGGCACTGGCACAGAAACAGACACATTGATCAGTGGAACAGGACAGAGAACCCAGAAATTATCCACTCTCTTATGGTCAATTAACCTATGACAAAAGAGGCAAGAATATACAATGGAGAAAAGACAGTCTCTTCAATAAGTGGTGCTGGGAAAACTGGACAGCACATGTAAAAGAATGAAATTAAAACATTTTTCTAAAAACCACATACAAAAATAAACTCAAAATGGAGTAGAGACCTAAATGTAAGGTCTGAAAGCATAAAATTCTTGGAAGAGAACATAGAATACTCTTGGACATGAATCATAACAAGATTTTTTTTGGATCTGTCTCCTAAAGCAAAAGAAATAAGCAAAATAAACAAAGATAAATAAATGGGACCTAATTAAACTTTAAGCTTTTGCACAGCAAAGAAACCCATAAACAAAACAGAAAGACAAGCTCTGGACTGGGAGAAAATATTTGCAAACAATGCTATCAGCAAATGATTAATTTCCAAAATATATGGACAGCTTATACAGCTTAATGTTTTTTAAAAAACCAAGCCACCAAACAGTTTTTCACAGCAACTGAACCATTTTATATTTCTACCAGCAATGAATGAGGGTTCCAATTTCTCCATATTCTTACCAACACCTATTTTTGCTTGTTTGTTTATTTTTGATTACAGCCATTCTAGTGAGTGTGAATGGTATCTTATTGCGGTAATAATTTGTATTTTCCTAGTAATTAATGATGTTGAGAATCTTTTCATGTGCTTGTTGCCCATTTGTGTATCTTCTTTGGAGAAATGTCTGCTCAAGTCCTTAGCCGTTTTTAAAATTGGGTTGTCTTTTTGTTGTTGAGTTGTAAGAGTTCTTTATGTATTCTGGATACTAGATCTTTATCAGATATATGGTTTTCAAATAATTTCTCTCATTCTTCAGGCTCTCTTTTCACTTTCTTGATAATGTACCTTAACGCACAAAAGTTTTTAATTTTAATCAAGTCCAATTTATCTATTTTTTCTTTTGTTGCTTGTGCTTTTGGCAACATATCTAAGAATCCACTGCCAAATCCAAGGTCATGAAGATTTATATTATACTTTCCTCTAGGTGTTTTATAGCTTTAACTCTTACGTTGAGCTCTTTAATCCATTTTGAGTTAATATTTGCATGTGGCGTGAAGTAGTTACCTAATTTTGTTCTCTTGTATGTGGATATCCAGTTGTCCCAGAACTATTTTTGAACCTATTATATTTTTTAAACGAACTTTAAGTATAAAACAAATAGAGAAACTTAGTCTTGTCAGACATTCCTCCTTTTGGGGATGTCCAAGTCCTGGGGTCTAATATCTCACTAAGGAATTGTAGAGGCCCCTTCACTTACCAGTTGTCTGTCTGCACTAGCCGTGTCTAACACGTCATTGTCTCAGCCTGCATAGGAGACCTTGGATGAAGCTGGGGATCTTCTGACCTGGCATCCAGCTAACCTGGTACACTGTGCAGTTAAAGAACCCTGCTCTCCTCCATACTTGGGCAGGATCTATTTATTCTCTTTAAACCCCAGTCTTAGTTTAAGCTTTAACAGTCAAAAGTCATGAAGCCACCCTACCAAGCCCTGCTGAAGCGGTGAAGCATAAAGCTTGCTCCGGGAACGGGAAAGGAAAAGGGAAAATGATAGGGGGAAAACATACACTGGCATCTCAAGAAATTATCCCGCTACACATGCATGGGGAACCTACCTACAGGAAATTCAAAAGTAAGCAAGCTAGTCCCCATCCTCTTGAAATTAGCAATGGAAGGGCAAACACAGGGCAGAGTGTTACAGGGAGCCTAGTGTCTGTTAATGCTTGTTTCTACATTTGCTCTCCATTCACATTTCCTTTAGTTCTCCATCTGGTCCACTGTACCCCACACTCGGATGCTCAGTTCCAACCATTTTTAAGCAAATTCTCATTGAAATAGTAGTTATAGGTTTTTTTATTCCTGCAATATTGTGTTAGTTTCAGGTGTACAGCAAAATGATTCAGTTATACATACATAGTATATTCTTTTTTAGATTCTTTACCATTATAGGTTATTGCAAGATATTAAATGCAGTTCCCTGTGCTATACAGTAGTTCCTTGTTGTTTGTTTTATAAATAGTAGTTTATGTATATTGATCCCAAACTCCTAATTTATCCCACTCCTCTCCTGGCTTTCCCCTTTGGTAACCATAAATTTGTTTTCTCTATCTGTGAGTCTCTTTCTGTTTTGTAAGTTCATTTGTACTATTTTTTTTAGATTTCACATATAAGTGATATCATATGATGTTTGTCCTTACTTCACTTAATATGATAATCTCTAGGTCCATCCATGTTGCTGCAAAAGGCATTATTTCTTTTTTATGGCTGAGTAATATTCCATCATATGTATATACACCACAGCTTCTTTATCCTGTCATCTGTTGATGGACAGTTAGGTTGCTTCCATGTCTTGGCTATTGTAAATAGTGCTACTATGAACATTGGGGTGTATGTATCTTTTAGCATTAGAGATTTCTTTGGATGTATACCCAGGAGTGGGATTGCTGGGTCATAGGGTAAGTCCATTTTTAGTTTTTTAAGGACTCTCCACGCTGATTTCCATAATGGCTGCACCAAGCTACATTCCCACCAACAGTGTAGAAGGGTTCCCTTTTCTCCATACATTTCCTGCATTTATTATTTGTAGACTTTTTAATGCTGGTCATTCTGACCGGTGTGAGGTGATACCTCATTGTAGTTTTGGTTTGCATTTCTCTAATAATTAGAGGTATTGTGCATCTTTTCATGTGCCAGCTATATGTCTTCTGTGGAGAAATGTCTGTTTAGGTCTTCTGCCCATTTTTTGATTGGGTCATTTGTTTTTTTATATTAAGCTGTATAAGCTGTTTGTATATTTTAAAAATTAATCCCCGTCAGAAGTATTGTTTGCAAATATTTTCTCCAAGTCCATAGGTTGTCATTTCATTTTGTTTATAGTTTCCTTTGCTGTACAAAAGCTTTTAAGTTTAATTAGGTCCCATTTGTTTATTTTTGGTTTTATTTCCATTACTCTAGGAAAGAGATCCAAAAAAAAAAAAACATTGCTGCAATTTACATCAAATAATTTTCTGCCTATGTTTCCCCTTAGGAGTTTTAGAGTATCCAGTCTTACATTTAGGTCTTTGATCCATTTTGAGTTTATTTTTGTATACGGTGTTCTAATTTCATTCTTTTACCTGCAGCTGTCCGGTTTTCCCAGCACCACGATTGAAGAGACTGTCTTTTCTCCATTGTATGTTCTTGGCTCTTTTGTCATAAATTGACCATAAGTGAGTGGATGTATTTCTGGGTTCTCTGTCCTGTTCCACTGATCAATGTGTCTGTTTTTGTGCCAGTGCCACATTCTTTTTTCCTTCCTACTCTGGATCACTGTAGCTTTGTAGTAAAGTTTGAAGACAAGGGGTGTGATTCCTCCAGCTCTGCTCTTCTTTCTCAAAATTGTTTTGGCTATTCGAGGTCTTTTGTGTTTCCACATAAAACTTAAATTGTTTGTCCTATTTTTGTGAAAAATGCCATTGGTAATTTGATAGGGCTGGCACTGAATCTGTAGATTGCCTTGGATAGTATGGTCATTTTAACAGTGTTGATGCTTGTGATCCAAGAGCGCAGTATGTTTTTCCATCTGTTTGTGTCGTCTTCAATTTCTTTCATCAGCGTCTTACAGTTTTCGGGCTGCAGGTCTTTTGCCTCCTCAGGTAGGGTTATTCCTAAGTATTTTGTTCTTTTTGATGCAGTGATAACTGGGGTTGTTTCCGTAATTTCTCTTTCTGGTATTTCGTTGTTAGTATACAGACATGTAACAGGTATCTCTGTATTAATTCGGTTTCTAGCAGCTTTACTGAACTCGTCGCTGAGCCCCAGAATAGTAGTGACCGGCTTGGTGCCCTAGCTGAAGGCTGAACTCTCAGTCACCCCCTTGTATATGGGATCCAGTCGGCCAGACACAGCCCCTGGGCCTCAGTAAAGCTAAGTGTGACTCACTATTTGGCCGCGTGCCACCGTCTCCCTTTTAGGACTGGAGTGCTGGGACTGGACGCTGTGTTGAGGCATCTCAGCCCTCCTTCTCAGAAGCACAACTTTGCACAGTAACTTGGCCAGCCTAGCATCCTGCTCCTCGGTCCTTCTGTACGACATTGGCCATTGTCTGACTCCTGGACCCTCTACCACTGTGTGCCACCCACAGAGCAGAAACTTAAAAGGCTGCTAAAATTCAGTGTGCCAGAAAAAAACATAATAAAGCCAGAAACTTTTGAAATACAAAGCTTGTTAAAAGGCTGATGAAGTCTTTATTATAATTTTTTAAAAAACTGCAATGAGTACAGTTTTACCAATTTAGTTGATCCTTGAACAACACAGGTTTGAACTGCATGGGCCCACTTATACACAAATTTTTTCAATAAATACAGTACCTGTATTTTCGTTTTACAGACCTTTAAGTTGTGTGGAGAAAAGTTTGTCTTCAGTAAGGGATCAGCAAGAATGGGACATTGTGCTGTACACCAGAAGCTGATACATTGTAATTGGCTGTACTTCAATAAAAAAATAAACAAGGGGTCCCATATGTGCAATCAAAAGGACTAGGGTTTGAATCCTGATCCTATCCAAGCTATCTCCCCTTCCACCTTGAGTGCGTCATTCACGAATCCCCTTGCTTCTGAGGCAGAGCTGGCAGTGCTGCAGTGTTCAGCGGGAGGAGGGAGGGGTGGGGCCAGCACCCTCAGCCCCGCGTTGTTCGAGGGTCACCTGTGTAGCTATGGACAGTACTGGTAAATTTGGGGATTAAAAAAAATGTAAATTGGCTTATAATAAAAATGTGGATCCAAGTTAATTCATAGTACATTATTTCAATTGCCTGTTTATAAAATGTATCAAAGATCTATCAGTGATCTTTTAGGGAGAAAAGCCTAAAATAAAATATAAAACAGCTAAAAATATTAGGTGACTTATGATTTAATGTAAATGACCATAGGCAAAAATGCCTTAGAAGTTATAAAAAGGATCAGATTAATATGAATGGCATTAGTACAGGGAAAAGCTCTATGAATGTTCCTTTTATAGAATCTTACTCTTACATAATGGTTGCAATATCCTTTCTTCTCCCTCTGAGACCATGAATGATAGCTCTTTATTTTTGAGTTGTCTTCTCTCTGCATGCTCTGTTCCCTCCAAGTTGTGATTTCTGTCATGCCTTTGTCTTCATATGAGATTTTCCCTGGGTGTCTGATGATCCTTGACTGTATGCTCATGACCCTCAAGAGTGTGAAACCATTTTTAAAGCACTGAGTAAAAAGCAAAACACCGCCCGCATACAGGCATCATACTTGGTTCAGCGGACTTAGTTTACTGTTTACTTTATGCCTTGGTTTCTCTTCCTGTACTTACTTGGGCCCTACTTTGTGAAACAGGCACAAAGTGATTCTTTAAGTCGTAATGATGACTATGAAGGAGAAAGCTATAAACAGGCAAACACGAGCAGAAGATGCTAAGGCTACCATGGGCCTTTACATCTGGACCCACGGCCTTGTTTACAGGAGAAGAGAGTGAGTGAAGGAGAGACGCAGGGACTCGGCCAAGGTGCTGTGACTAATCAGTGACAGAACCAGTATAACCTTCCCTAGTCCATTATTTGTTTCTCTCCTTCTCCTATGTGGTTACAGGAAGACAGACGCATTCAGAGTAGTGTCTTGATGTTGGTACCCACTTAGACTCAGATATTTCTGTTTAAAGTTGTCGACTCAAGGCTTCAATAATCAAAACAAGATTGTTAGAAAATAAATTTAAAATGACACCACAGTTGACTAATAATGAGATTCATTAAATAATTTAAGAATATTGCCAATTAAATACCTTTTTAAAGACAGCTATGCCTAGGAAAGTTGACATGACTCCCACCTCCTCATCCTTGGGAAGGTTTTGATTGTTTTGTTTAAAATTTTTGTTTGTTTATTTTTTGCTTGGAGGGTTAGGCCCATCTTTTGATCTATTCTATTCCCTTGGTTTTAATTAATTGTTTCCTAGTATCCCTGATAGCATCTTAGAGCAGCTTTGTCCATAGTTTTATTTGTGCCACAGGGATGGATGGATATTTTTTCAACATGATAAAATATCTCCACCTTACTCCTAAAGTTAGCTTCTTAATGAGGAAACAAGCAGCATTCTCCTTGAAGTCAGGAACAATAAAGATACCTGCTGTCTGCACTACTATTTAACATTGTCTGGAGGTCCTGCCCAATGCAGTTAGACTACAGAAAGCAGTCAGAGGCAGAAAAATTGAAAAAAAAGAAGTAAGTCTATCTATTTGCAGGAAAGATGATGGATCCCTGGAAAACCCTAGAATAGGAGTCAGCAAACTGTGGACTACAGGTGAGATTCAGCCCTTCATCTGTTTTGTAAATAAAGTCTTAGTGGAACACAGCTATGTCTGCTCTTTTGTGACTTGTCTAGGGCTTCCTTTGCACTACAACGGCTGAGTTGAGCAGTTGCATCAGATCTTCAGACCCTCAGGTCTAACATATTTACTCTCTGGTCCTTTATATAAAATGTCTGTCAATCTCTGCCCTAGAGAATCAGTGATAAAATTATCTCAAACAATGAAAGAATTATAAAAGGTAGTAAGATACAAAATTATCATGCAAGAATTAATAACATTTCTATATACAAACCAGTTAGAAGGTATAATGGATGAGAAAACCCCATTTACAATAGCAACAAAAAAGAAAAAATATTTAAGAATAAGCTCAATAAAAAATGTTCAAAACCTGTATAAGGAGAGTTATAAAACATTCCCCAAGATAATTCTGAACAAACAGAAAAACATCCCTGTTCATGGTTAAGATGTTTCGACATCAATATGTCTGTTTTCCCTAAGTTAATTAGTAAACAGTGCAATTTCAAGAAAAATTCCAGTGAGCTTTTTATGGAAGTAGATAAGGTTATCCTAAAGTTCATATGGGAAAATAAACACACGAGAATAGCTGAAAAGAAAGGGTTTAACCCTTTCAGGTATTATAACATACTATAAAATTGTGGTATTGACATATGAAGAGACAGACCAATGGAATAGAACAGAAAATCAGAAATGGAGCCAACTGCATATAAAAATCTAGCATATGATAAAAGTAATGTTTCATCACTGGATAAATGTGTATTTTTTAATAAGTGGTGTTGAGACAACTGGATAACCGCTTAAAAAAAAGATAAATTTAAATCCATTCCTCACATTGTACACCAAAATAAACTCCAAATAGATCAGGGATCTAAACATAAAAAACAAATTACAGAAGTACTGCAAGAAGAAATGGGTGAATTCTTCCATAACCCAGGTATCAGAAAAGGCTTCCTAGCTATGACTAAAAGCCCAGATAAAATAAAAGAAAAAATTTGATAAATAGAAGTAATGAAATTTTGAAAACTTCATTATGTCAAAAAAATCAGCATAAGAAAAATAAAAAGGCAAGTGATATACTAGAAGAAAATATTTGCAACCTTCATTGCAGATAATTGGATAATCTCCCTAATCTATAAATAACATAATACTGAAGGAGAAAAATCCTATAGAAAAATGGACAAATTAAAAAAATCAGACAGCTTATAGAAAGATATAAAAATGGCCTTTAAACACATTGAAAGATGTTTAACTTCACGTGTAACAAGAGAAATGCAAAATTAACTAAAGTATAATTCTTACCCATACATTAGCAAGAATTCAGAAGCTTGGCAATGTTACTCTGTCACAAGGTTATGGGGAAAAGAGACACCCTCATACATCACTGTGGGAATGAAAAAAGAATTGAGGGAACTCTGGCAATACAGATACAAACACAAAATTATACATGCATTTACCCCCTGATCCAGAAATCTAAATTCAAGAAATTTAGAAGCACAAGGATGTATACCACTTTCAAAAGTACAAAAATGCATATGCAGAAGAATCTTTCTTGCAGCATTATTTGAAATCTCAAAGTAGTGGAAACTAATCAAAGACTCAAGCATAGGACATTGATTGAAGAATCTTTGGTACAGGCACACAGTGGATTCAATGCAGCTGTGAAAAATAATAGAGAAGATCTCTATGAATTGAAATGGAGTAATTTCAGGCGGTACAATTAAGTTAAAAAAAACAGAACTCATAGAGGATGTTACCTTTTATGTACAAAAGAATAGAAAATAAGGATACATACATGTATTTGCTGGTCTTTACAGAAAAAATCACTGAAGGAGAAACCAGATACCAATGAAAGTGGTGGCACAGAAGAGTGGGAGGAAGTAGCGTGGAAAGAATGTGAAGAGAGTATCACTTCTCTGAGGACATTTTTTGACTTGTGAAATTATGTTTATGTTCTACATTCTCAAAAATTAAATTCAACCACTGAGAATGGGGGGAAAAATGAAAAACTGAAAGCAAAAAACCCCCAAATTAACCTTTCAAATGAATACCATAACCACATTGGAAAAAGAATAAGGAAAGAAAGAGTCAAGGAAGGAAAGAAGGAAGGAAGGAAGGGAAAGAAGAAAGGAAGCCAATAACTAATAAAGAAACATTTGAGTACACACCCTCTGTCTTGGGCAGGGCGGAGGGTAGGAAAGAATTGCAAGTGAATCCTCAGCCCGTTTTACAGATTTGTTCATTGTAGTAGTAAGGGCAAATACTGAAGCTGTTTTAGGATATATTATAGGATTGAACAGATGTATTGATGTTCTTGGGAGCTAGAGAGCTCACAGAGGAAGAAGGGACATACAAATACAGATTGGAAGAAGACAAGACAGAACCCTGAGAGGATGGATTGGAACTGGATGTCTCAGGTATGAATTTATGGTTTCTAAAATAGCATATCAGGTGTGTGTGCACATATAAGTGCATGTACATCAATATGTGTGAATATTTATTTGATTATGTCCATGGAAAGGGCTGAGAAGCAAAGATACTGGTAGCGATGATCATATCTACACCCCGACCTTTAACACCATTCTTCACTAAGAGGAACCATGGCTCCTCAAAGCAATGACTAACACCAGGGATGGAGCAAGGTAGGTACAAGATAAGCCTGGAACATCTATTTATGCCAGGAAGTAAGGGAGTGATTTTTAAAAAACTGATTGGGGAGTGTCACAAGAACCCAGCAACCATCTTGAAGAGACTCATTGTGGCCAAATCTGGGATAATTTGTGGGCCAGAATAAGTACAGTAATGAACTGTAAGCAATTGGAGAAATAGAAATGAATGAGTTCATGCCTATAAGAAATAAATGAACAATAGTGCAGAGGAGAGCGTTCTCGATTGCAGCTGAATACTGAGGGCCAGCTGTTAATGTGGAGGAGTAAGCAAGCTGGAAAATAATCATTTTGCAAAAATCACAGCAAAGATTGTTTCAGGCAGGAATCACCAATGGACACTAAATCTAGGAAGAAATTTTCATAAGAAAGAGAATATTTTCATGATCCTCAATTATCTCCCCACAGGCCACCTATTAATTACAACAGAGAAAAATTAGTTATTTAATAATGAATAAATTAGACAACATCTCGACTGGGCAATCCAAATGAACAGCAGCAATGCAGGACAGGTGGGCAGCGCACGCCTCTGACCGCGCTACCTCGCGTCTTCTATGCAGTGTTCTGGTCTGGAATGCATCATGCGGACCTAATCATGAGGAAACACCAGAACAACCTGAAATGAGGAAGATTTTTCTAAAAGAAAATAAAAGGTGTAGCATATTTGTCAAAAATGTAATGTCATAAAGACAGAGAAAGTCTTTAGAAATATTCCAGATTAAAGGAGGCTGAAGAGCGGTGACAGTTAAAAGCAACAGCTACCTCTGCACTGGGTTTTGTGTTGCGGGAGGTAGGAACCTTTGTTGAGAACGTTATTGGGTCAATAACTAACAGAACTGGGATATAATTGATAGAGTAGAGTATTATACTGATGTTAACTTCACTGAAATTGGTAGCTACCCTGTGATTATATTAGAGAATGTCCACATTCTAAGGAAACATATAGTGAACTTTTTAGGGGTAAAGGGCCATAATTTTGGAGCAAAGGGCCTTTAAATGGTTCAGGGAAAACACACACACACACACACACACACAAATGATAAACTAAGTTTAGACACTTTCATGGATAAATCTGGATTAAGGGTGTATGAGTGTTTTGTGCAACTTTAATGTTTGCTACTTTTGGTAAATTTGAAGTTATTTCAAAATAAGTTTTTTAAAAAGAGAAAAATTCAAGACTAATTCAATAATGCTCACAGTAGCTTTATTCATAGCAGCCTAAACCTAGACCCCCGTATTCATCAACAGAAGGACAAGTCAACAGACTGTGATCCATCCATACAATGGAACACTACTCAGCAGCAAAGAAGGAAGGACTGCTGATAAGTACGGCAACATGGACGAGTCCCAGAAACACCGGGTAAAAGAAGACACACGCACACGCACACACACGCACATTCGCACACACGCACACATACGTGTGTGCACACACACATGCACCCACACACACAGACACACACAACTTGCCTCAATGACTATGAGGTGCAAGAACAGGCGAATACACGTGTGACAGGTCAGAGAGTGGGTGCATTTGGAAGTAGGGTGAAACTGACTACAAGATAGGATGAGGGGACTTTCTGGGGTGATGAAAATGATCTATATTTTGTTTGGGGTGGTGATTTCATGGGTATTTACAAATGCCAAAACTCATCAAACTGAACCCTTAAGATCTGTACCTTTTATGGTCTATAAATTGTAACTCCCAGTAAATGAATAAATGTTAAACAAGCGAATTTTTTTAAGGGAGATATCTTAAGGGACATTCAGGTTGAAAGAGATGTTAAACATCTCTGGAATGTATTCAATGTTAAGACCATTATGCCCTGAGAAAGACCCTGGGTGTCTAAAAATAGGGAAGGAAATAAATGATCTTAAGAAGATCTAGGGTATCTGAAAACATGGAAGGGAAATAATTTTTTTTAACTTTTTTTATTGAGTTATAGTCATTTTACAATGTTGTGTCAAATTCCAGTGTAGAGCACAATGTTTCAGTTATACATGAACATACATATATTCATTGTCACATTTTTTTTCACTGGATCTACCATAAGATCTTGTATATATTTCCCTGTGCTGTACAGTATAATCTTGTTTATCGGTTCTACATTTTGAAATCCCAGTCTGTCCCTTCCTACCCCACTGGAAGGGAAATAATTTATCTTAATCTTCTTGGAACCAAACTTTAGGATACTTAAGAATGTCCTGTGGGAGGTACGGTTAATTTCAAAACATAACTAACCAGTTTGTTGGTCCAGAGAGGTAGATGCGTACATGGCTACAGTGGGAAGGATGTCTAGGTTTTGCTGCGTGGGTTTTTGTCCGTACATGTGAGGAGTGGCGCATCTTCACAGAACTGGGGCCTGTTTGGGCACGATTCGTATCCTGGTTCGCCCCGCTGGGCGCCAGCCAGGGCTGCCACTACACGTGTTAGCAAGTTCCACCAAGTTCAGGCATCCATCTCCGGCAGCACATGAAGGAGTTCGTTTTATTCAAGTGATAAAAGGATTAGTTCACAGAAACTACAATGCATCATAGAAATAATGTTAATTGAAATATCTGTGCCATATTTCAAGTACCCACAGTCATTACGGCATAGTTTTATAATTGCAGCAGCCCCTCTGCTGTGGCTGCTGGTGACGCCTTCGTCCAGAGGCGCTGGGGTGGTGTTCTGTTCCGGTCCTGTGGCAGCTCTGCGACTTTGCTCGGGCTGGCTCTGTGAGTTCTGTGCTTGACTCCTTTTGCTCTGGAGTGCCCCGCTGGTCCGGCTGAGGGCGTCGCTTCCCGTTGTCACAGCTAGCATACAAATTCTGGAGTTTGCCAGTCTTCTCAGTTCACCAAATTCAGTTTCAAGGGCACGGGTTTTCTCAGTGATTCTTTTGTTGTTCTAGAATGTTGTGCTTCTAATTGCTGTCACTGCAGTCTTTGCAAAACAGGGACTTCCATGAGAAAACCTCTGCTGGCGCCTGCTGTCTGTGAGCGTCTCTGTGAATCCTAAAACCCCCGCTGCAGCCAGAGTGGAAGGGTTTTTTAACAGCCTTCCATGGCCTAACGTGGAAAGTAACGATCACCCGCCCCCGACACACAGCTGCCCCTTTACCTAGAGCTACAGCAGCCGGGGGCGAAGTGATCCGCTTACACCGCGCAGCGTTTTACGAGTCAGCCATTTCACACTCACCCGTGTGTGCGTTGCGGATTGATCCGGATGAGAGTGCACGCCTTTGAACAAAAACACCAGGAAGTGGACAGAAAAACGAGCAAGGGATCTTGAATCTGAGTTTCACCTCATGTTTTTGTCATAAATAACTGTGTGATCTTAATCTCTGATTCTCAGCTTGCTCAGACATGAAATAAATAGTTCAGCACTGGCTGCCTCCGAGGATGGGGCTTGGAGCTCCTGGGCCAGACAAGGACATAGCAATGGAGATGAAAAGAGCCCAGAAGTAGACAAGCTCTTACATATTCACACATGCAAATGCCTGAGAGAGAACTGTTGTTCATATTACACGTTTCTCTACCACTAAACAAAAATACGTGTGTATTACTTTTATACATTTTAAAAACACAAAAATTATAAAATAGAAAACTTTTGGAGAAGTTGATTTCTAACATCCTTTATTGCTTGAAAATGTTTATTATTAAAAATGTTACCAGAAGGTGTTAGGGCAGGGAAAGAACGTATGAAAACGCATGGCATCACTGCATGGGGGTGGAGGGAGAGCTGACCTACATCATTTGGGAAAAGAGTGTTTTTACTGGAAACTGGAAGACTAAAGACAAGGAGAACAGACCCAAAACACTGTATTTTACTTGGTAACCGTGTGTCACACAAGGGCACAGTTTAGCAATTCTGATGCTGCTTTACAAGTAGACTAGGGTTGAACAAAAATAAATGAATTATAGACAATGGGGATCATGTTTCTTATTTCAGAGAAAGTAGATTACAAATTAGCAAAGGAGGGAGGACTAGAATGAACTGTGTGGCGTTTGATGAATCAAAGATATCAGCGTAAATTCAGGTAGATAAAAACGGATGATACAGAAATAAAAAGAACTTCATTGGCCAAACTTGGCACAGTATGAGCAATAAGATTAGTAACAATAGTATTGGATTATGACTCCAAGAATAAAATAAGCGTCTATTACTCCATACTAATATAAAAAAATGATTGAATAAATAAACAGAGAAGAAGGGAAAACTCTTCCTTATAGAAAAAAATCCCAAAATTCCAAATAATAAATGTAGAAGAAATGAGGGCAATAGAAAAATCACCGTTTGAACACCACAGTAATAATTATTCAAGGATGTATGCTAAAATTAGTGGATGAAACTTTAAGGAGAAACAAAATATTTGCATAGCGTCTCGCCAAAATATTTACTAAGTGCTTTAGTGGTTTTTAACATATGCCCACAAATTCTTTGACACTCCTCCCTCCAGGAGGTGCCATTCATTTCCCTAGGTCTTGAGTGTTAGCTGGACTTACAAACCCACTTGTAATATAATGTGGAAAGGGAAAAATAGTAATTTTACAGTGTAGAAATGGCAGATGGCAGACATCATCTTAACCAAGAGATGAAGGTTAATATCACCAGTAATAAGTTGATTGGTACATGTTGATATCATGTATCCTTGATACGATGCAATGAGAAAGGCTCTTCATCTCTGTGCTGTTCTCAAAACCCCACAGCCCCAGTCTAATCATGAGAAAACATCAAACTCAAATGGAGGGCCATTCTACAAAATATCTGGCCAGTGCTCTTCAAAGGTGTCAGGTTCATTAAAAAAACAAGGAAAGACTGAGAAACCATCACAGATTGGAGGAGACTAAGGAGATGCGCTCACTAAATGCCATGTGGTATCCCACTGACTCCTTGAGCAGAAGAAATATAAGTGGGAAACCTAGTGAAATTCAAATAAAGTCTGTAGTTTAGTTTCTCATGTCTACCAAAGTTTATTTCTTAGGCTTGGATAAATACCCAAAATTACACAATGTAATAGCATTAGGGGACGCTGGTGAAACATATGCAAGAATTCTTTGTATTATCTTTGTAACTTGTAACTTTGTAGCTTATCTTTGTACTATCTTTGTAACATCTGTAAATCTAAACTGCTTCAAAATAGAAAGTTGGGGAAGATGTTATGATAAAATGCACTGTGTCAAAATGAAAAATAGGTACGTCTAATCAGGAGCCCTATTGTTGAATCCAGAATCAAGTTAGAAACTAGAATGAATGAATAAATCCCAAAAAGATGTTAGATGTAAAGAAATATAGGCCGTTACACTCTTTTTTCTTGAAATATAGCCAACACCTTGGATTTATTAACAGGGCTGGGCACATACCTCGCATGTCCTGTGAAACTACAACTCATTATTTTGTCATTAGCTTGCTTTTCGTATCTCTAAAAGAATCTCAGGAGAACATCGAGTCCCAGGCTTGGGAACCATTTCACTCCCATCCAGACCCGTAGACCCACAGAAGAACATGAGCATTAGTACAAAGCAATTTAATGCCATTTCAGTTGCTAGATGTTGTTTTTTTCTCCCCAGAGATAGAAATGTGTGATGAATTATATTTGTGTGCATTTAAAATTAAGAAGAGTTACATAAAATTGTTCTATAAATGAAAAAAAAAACCAACCTTCTATTCACACTAGTAACAGGAGCCCTATTGTTGAATCCAGAATCAAGTTAGAAACTAGAATGAATGAATAAATCCCAAAAAGATGTTAGATGTAAAGAAATATAGGCCGTTACACTCTTTTTTCTTGAAATATAGCCAACACCTTGGATTTATTAACAGGGCTGGGCACATACCTCGCATGTCCTGTGAAACTACAACTCATTATTTTGTCATTAGCTTGCTTTTCGTATCTCTAAAAGAATCTCAGGAGAACATCGAGTCCCAGGCTTGGGAACCATTTCACTCCCATCCAGACCCGTAGACCCACAGAAGAACATGAGCATTAGTACAAAGCAATTTAATGCCATTTCAGTTGCTAGATGTTGTTTTTTTCTCCCCAGAGATAGAAATGTGTGATGAATTATATTTGTGTGCATTTAAAATTAAGAAGAGTTACATAAAATTGTTCTATAAATGAAAAAAAAAAAACAACCTTCTATTCACACTAGTAACAGCTTATGGAAGGAAAGGGGAGAGGACGGAAGAGGAGGAGGAGCTGCCGGACACCCCTGGGTAGGTGCTGCCTCCGTGGCGAAGCTTCGCGGGGTGGCCTGGAGAACAAGGTTGGATGCAGTGTTTCTGTGAAGCAGCCCCGAGCGAGAAGCGCCTGCGAGTAACTGCAGTCGGTGTTCTGGTAAAGGATGAACGTTAGAGTTCACTGTGGAGATTCTGTCGTCAGGTCCAAGGGGGGGAAAGGGAAAGACTGAGTAATTACTAGAGCTTCCGTACACAGTAGTGTATCTCATTTTATTCCCGAACCAGCCCTGCGAGACACATACTATCAGCCTCCTTCTACAGCTGGGGAAACTAAAGCTACGGGACACAAAGGAACTTGCCCAGGGTCACACAGTCAGTAACTGGAGAAGACAGAATTGGAACCTAGCTGAATGTGCCCTCCGAGTTTGCGCTCTTAACCACAACACAAAAAGTCGGCAGCTGCGCAGACACAGGAACCAAGAAGACAAAGAAAGGATAGGCAGGAATACTGTGGGAGGGAGCAGCGTTTGCCTCTGGTGCCTGAGATTCACTGCTAATGGCTGCAACCACACACACCTACAGAAGCAGTTTGTCCCCAATTCCAGGGCCAATTTTCCAGCCAGCTCTGTCCTGTGCAGGCCTGGAGTTCGGCAGAGTCGAGGCTGCTTGGATGGAGATTGGGAACCCTTCCACCACGACAGAGTGGTGTCTGGAAGGGGTGTGCTGCTCTCAGACCTGCCGGCAAGAGTACTGTTTCTACACTGGCTAAAACAACTGAAAAACTAGAGAAGAACAAACTGATTTTCAAAGCCTCGTGTTCCTTGGGTTACCCTTCCCAACTTCCCTGTCGCAGGTGGCATCTAATGTGCCTTCCCCAGAAGCTATCTCGTGTCCAAGCTCTGCTCCCCCCCCGTGCCATCTTCCTCTCTCCTCCTCTGTGAAGACTTGCCCCTTTAAAACCGGATCCTCTGAGGATCCAAATGCAAAACTCCTAATTCTGTTTCTAAATTAACTGGAGGAAATAAACTAGAAGGAAAGATTAAAGTAGCAACTGCCCTTGATTTTTCATAATAGACAAACATACTCTAAAATTCTTAGGAGAAAACTTGCTTTCTATTTCTGTCAGTCTGTTTGTTGAAGCTTTTTGGTAAGTCACCCATTCTGTTCAAAAGGGGGAAATTTTGTTTTAAATAAAATTTAAGTTAAGGGGCACTCTTAAATTAGAAGAGACAATGGAATGCATTCCTTGATTTTTATACAGAAGCTTCTGAAAAATAAATTGACTCTAAAAACAGCTCTAAAAGGATCCTTACAGCATGCAAAAACAAAATCAAAAATCAAAAACAAAACAAAACAAAACTTTGGCCACCTGGGCAAGTAAACTTAGCTTAGTCCATTTGCCAGAAACACAGTTTGGATCCAAGTATTCTTTTGAGTTTGTATCTTAGACGTGGCTAAAACTTTAAATGAAACTATAAGGTCCCTGTTTGTATCCGTCTGTATGCTCATGTGTGTCTGTACATACATGCATACATGTGTTGCAGACATGTGGTAGCCTTTATCTCTAGATGGTATTGCTAAAATTAATTTGTAAAGAGCTCTATTTAAATGACTTGAAAACAAACAAGCACTTACATGAGTTAAACAAAAATTATGGAAACTAAGCCAAAATGATTTTCAAGTTCACATGATCTAGGATTAAATTTTAGTAAATGAAAGCTAGCTTAAGATTGTTGGTTTAATTAAAATAAGCATGTCTTTGAGAATATCAGCTGAAAAGAATGCAGACATACAATCTTAATTCTACTTGGATTTATTGGCCAGATAACTTCATATTATCTTTTTTACAAAATTTGCCAGCAAGAAAAACAACTTAAGAAGGCTAACTGTTTTAACATCATATACGAAGTTTTTGTGAGTAAGCTAAATGCAGTTGTCGGCAATAAATGATTTAGGCCGGTGCAAGTGGGATATGCTTTTTGCAATTACTATGGCTTGAAAAGTAAATTCCTGAAAACTTGTTGGTAACTTGAAACTTCAGAGTTTTGCTGAGATTATATTAAATGATGGGCAGTTATTAAATATCTAGATCATTTCCAAATAAGATAAAATACTGAAATGTTACTAAAATATGTTCATCCACTTTTTATTTTCTTTACAAAGGAACTAAAGATATTTCAGTTTATTGGTAAACATATTTTGTGCCACACTGGAAAATTTACCATGAGGAAAATACATTTTTATTTTAGTCTGCTCCTGATGAGAGACTGTGAAGGATTTTTTTCTTTACCTATTAAGTAATCTGTTTAGAAAACAAAGATTTGTGTTTTATGAAAATAATTTCTTGCCCTTCATTTGGTCTTAATCAGGTCTTTCATGACTAAAGGAAACTGAATCTTCTTAATATTAAAAGCTAGGTTTTGTTGCATATGTAATCTTTTTGCATTTGCCTTTGAAATCTTTTATTGTTACTGTGGTCAAACAGATACTTAAGTACCACGTCATAATGATCTGTGGTCCTGTTTGGTCAAGTGTCCAAAAGCTTCTGATATTTTTGACAAATTTCCAAAAATTATATTCTAAACAAAGTCTGTTTGAAATTTAACTAACTTTGAGTTCATCCAGAGGCCCCTGGAAAATCTTAAAGAATTTGTCTCTGACCTAGGGAAATGTTAAAGTAATCCAGATTATTTTATATGCTAACTTCCATGGGAAGCTTGTCAAATAAGAAGAAATACTAAACCCTTTTACCTTATATTTGTACAGGTACAAGTTAATATAAATGTTCCAAAATTGTGTGAAATTTCTGAAATTCTAAGATGTCCTGATAAAATGTTATTGGTCATAATTTTAAAATGCATGTCACAGAAATAAGCAGATCCTCTTCACAATGAACTCTCATCAGATCTTTAATAAGTGGGCTTTTTCAAGTCTTTTGTCACTTATAGACAGTTACTGTTTTACTCTGATGCCTTTGCAAATGTATTTTATCCAGAGAAATTCATGGAAAGGATTCTAACAGTTACTCTACAATACAGGGTTTTTGATGACCTTAAGATTATAACACTGAATTGGGTAAAAATTTCTAAAACTCTAATAGAAAACTGACTGTTACAATCATTTATGTTCCAGATGTAAAGGAGCCCTTTTTCTCCTCTCCTTAAGCTATTTGTAATTTACAGCCATTTGGCAAACTGAATCTTCACAACAAAGGTTGAAGCATTTATCTTTTTCTCCCTACCTCATCCCTCAAGAGTTCTGAAATTCTTATTAAATATTCTTGGATTTCATGACACTGTACATATTTGCATAGGTTTGGTGAATCTCCTTGTAACGGGATGCCCGATGCACCTGGCTCCTGCTTCTCTTGTTCCACAGCTGATAAAAGGAGACAGACTTCTGTACTGTAAAGGCCTAATTGCTTCTGTTAGAATGCCCTTGCTTTAGTAGAGCACTCTGTTTCTAACATGCTTTCAGAAGACAAAGACCCCAAACATCGCATCCTACAGCCTGGAGATTTTGTGCACTGGCAGAGATGGCTCCAGAAGGGCTCTCTGGCCTTGCTGGAAGGGCCCCATCAGGTTCCGCTGACTAACCGCTGTGTCGCATGTTGCACCTAAACAAGGCACCAAATCCCAACTAGACTTGCCAATTGCATGGCAGTCTGAGACTAAGCTCACTAGGGTCTGAAGCAGATGACTCCTGAGATGTCTGTACCAGGCCTGTGTACCTTTCTTTCAATGTCATCTCTTACCCTTTTGCTCCCTCCATTCCATGGAAGGACAGTGCCCTCATCCTTATTGCCCGATCCCTTGTGAGAGAGGCAAACCTCTCTGATGGCTGGACCTGCCACTGGAAACCGCAGTCTGTACGAGATAGCAATGGCCCTTTGGCTCACCCTGTAAGTAATTTTGTTGGAGTTCCAGAGGCTGCTGCCTGTCCCAGTCGTTCCTTGGGCCCATTTTATAGTCAGTGTGCTAAGCCCGCCTGAACCCATTCTTTGCTTCAACGTGACCCAACCCTGGAGTGAGAAAACAAGACCTTTTTAGTGTTTGTCTAAAAGATTCTGCAGAGTTGGTAATGCAAATTGGATTCTTTGTAAACTTGCTGACACATTTACATACCTAGGTAACCTCTCTGAGTGTAACAACAGCACGTCTAAGGCTTTGTTTAGTAACACTAACGTCTCTATGCTAGTGATTGAGCCCATAGATATTATCACTTATGTGGAGACCTTGCGTTCACCCCCTGGTTGTACCTTCATATGTGGAAGTTTGGCGAATGGCTTGGGCAATCCATTGCCTTGATAGCTGGCAAATACAAGGACAGTGTGCCTTTGCTGTATTCATTGTCCTGTTCTCTCTGTAACGGAACAGAAGCCTGTCATTGGTCTGCCCCGTTAAACACCTGTAACTGCCTTGAGTGAGAACTTCCGGGAGATGTGCATAATTCTGGCTTTGCCTCCACGGGGAGAGCTTCCCATGGGCTGGCAAAAGTGCTGGTGAACACGTGATCAGGAACCTCTCTCTGACATTAGGAGAGTTAGCTGACTCTGTAGCCAACACAGTTCCAGTTCAGCAGTGGTCACTTCACTTAACCGGCCAAGGTAACCGCATAATCTCTGGTTACCTATGTGCTGAGCAAAGAGCAGTCTGTGCAAGAGCAAAAACCTCTTGTTGCACTTGGATAAATGCCTCTGGGGTAATAGAGACCTGATTACATAAAATTAAAGCGCAAGCACATTGGTCACAGTAACTTCCGCCTGACCACCCACGTCTTTTGATTTACTTTACTGGCTACCTTCAGCTCTGCGTTCCTGGTTTAGAACCATCTTGCAATTATGTTGTTTTAAATTCTGCTTTGTATACTTGTTAATAAGTCCTGCACCTATTTCTTGTCCAACCTTTCTAAAAATGACATGCCTGAAAAGATGATGCTACCTCATCGCTTTGAGATAATTTCTAGTGCTTACAACCTTGACCAAATGTGGACTTTCAGCCAGAAGCGCCTGGGAGTTCCCCCTACTGCTTCATTTGTTACTGGAGTGCAGCTTCTGAGGCTTCTGATTCGTGTGCTTCGCTTTGATGTGGGACATGACAACCAGGGAAGGTCTTTCCTGGCACCAAGGGACAAACCACTATATGCAGAGATCTTGACTCTTAATCAACGATCCTTAGAGGAAAGATCTTGACCAAAAAGGGGAAATGTAGAAATAAGGAAACTTAAGGCAAAACTGGAGTAGGGACAGGCCTGGAGGCTGAGCGCTCATGCCCAGCCACGCACTGTCAGTTACTCCAAACAGGAAGAGACGCAAACCTCCATCTGCTGCCCACCTGACTGCCCGGCAGGAAGAAGAAGATGGCTCTCTACCCAAGAACAGGCCAGCCGGTCAGAGACTGTAGCAGCCCAGCCAATGAGAAGCTTCGAACTTGGCACTCCCAACTTCTTCCAACGGACTCTTTGATTGTTTAGCCCCTCTCAGCTCCCTTCTTTTCCGCAAGCTTCTCTTCCTAGTTCTCTGGACTTGCCTATGGTCTGCCATGGTTCACATATCCTGAATTGCAATTCCTCTTTCAGTTCCCAAATAATCTTGCTTTTGCTGGTAAGATAACTGGCTATTACACTCTTAAAGTTGACAGGGTACAGCAGAACAAACAGAGGACCAGGAACAAAGAGACCTAGGTTGTAATTTTTACCCTATAGCTAACTGGTTTGTGAGATTGTTGAATTCATTTAACCTCCCTTGGCCTTGTTTACACAACTGAGAAGTAAAGATACTGATCAAGATGATCTTTTAATGCCCTCTGAGCAATAAAATTCCTTAGACCACATGAGGTACAAGGGTTCTAAATTCCTGCACTATGGAATGTGAAATACGTTCTAAAATGTTCCCTTCATTCTACCCCCTTGCCCAGTATGCTAATCCCAACACCTAATAGGTAGTTAACAAATGTTTTTTAATTAGAATTTACCTCATTGAATAGTCATAATAATCCTCCAGGGGAAATAGTATTTTTCTCTTTGTGCATTTAAGATAACCTTACAGAGGTTGAATAAGTAAAAGAGATAGATTAAAGTCTATCTGCTCCATAGTCAAGGCACACTTTCTGAGACATGAGCAAACTACTTTCTATGTAGAGTGTCTGTTACAATTCTTAGCAATAGGATCAACTTTAATCTAAGAGCAAAACTAGAGCATTTTTGCAGTATTCTCAATTACGGAAAA